CCATCTGTGTTTTTCTCTGTTTGTCTCTCAGAGTCTTGTTGGAGATTCCAGGTGAGTTCAGGAGGTGAGTGTGGACAGGGAGTCACAGCTGAGCAGCTTACAGTGACAGACTCATGCTCCTTCAGATCACCAACAGGGATATTAATGCTGGGACTCCAGGGAGAATCTGGAAGTTTAGATCAGACAAACATTTTACCAATAAAAACAAATCATTAGGAACAGACAATGTTGTTTTAATTTTAAACCAACTTTGTTTCCAGACATAGACCACAAAAGTTATTTCCAGCTAAAGAAAAAGGTGTGAAAGCATAAGCTTCAAAGAACCAATAGACAACAGCTTCCCCCAATAAAACTCTGTCACTCATGTAACATTTTTATAAAAAGAACAATTGTCCCTTCATTCATACTCAAAATATCTTTTCATTTCATTTATTTTATTTTTTGTTAAATTTGTGGAAGTTATTTCCACCATTTTCATTGACAATAAGAAAAGAAAAGCAGGAAGAAAGTGTATTGTGTTGCTTACTGGAAAGCAGCCAATTAGACTTCTATGGAAGAAGTCCTAATCCCCCAAACAAATAGCCTGATAAACCAGACTAAATGTGAGATTAAATGTGTAATTTAGTCTTGAATTTCACATCGGAAGATTGTTGATGAGAACAACCCATTGTTTTTCAAACCATGTCTGTGCCTATTGGCCAACGCTCTGACCAATGAGCGTAACTGACTGTGACGTAGTAAATGTGACAGAAAGCTGGTGGGGGAGTGTAAACAAACAGCCTGTTGGTAAAAGGGTGAATACGTCCTTCTCAAAAATGAATGAGTGTAGAGCCTCTTTCTACTCATGTTTCAATGAAAAACCCCAAGTCTAATCATTCGGAAACTGATTCCACAGCTGAGTCAAAAATCGCAATCTGAGCCAGCGGTCCTTCACACACAACTATGCCGAGAGAGGGCCGCTGCAGACGGGCTGTGGTTAGCATTGGCTGCTGTTAACCTCAGAGCTCCGCTGGTTGCCAGAGTCCTCTTAACTTCGGTAATTGTTTTTTAAATTACTCTTTAAAGTGACAATTTTGATCAAATGCCCCCCCCCCAAAAAACAAAACAAAACAAAACAAAAAGGTAATTTTTCTGAACATTACTTTCACAAAACGCTAATACTGAAGCTCTCTTACCTTTAACTGTTATATTAAGAGGATCTTCACAGGCTGTTGCTTTAAACTTCTCGTTCTCAACCCTGAAGAAGTATCTGTCTGTATAACTGGTCTTTACATCAGGAAACAGAGTGGTGCAGTTTTTCTCTCTCAGGTTTCCAGTAATCGTCAGTGGATAGGTGTTAACTGACCCACTGCTGTGGAAAATAACAGGACTTGGATTGCCATTAATTTTTTGCTTCATCCAAACTCCATGGATAGTTTTGCTGCTGTCAAATAATTTATTTTCTGTATCAAAGCTGCATGGGATTTCCAAACAAGATCCACTCAGAGCTTTGATCTTTTTCGGTGTAGTGATTCTGATGCCTGATTTTGTACAATCAGCCAAAGTACCTGTAGAAACAGACGAATGATGAACATGATGTGGAGCAAAATCTGTCTGGAGAAACTTCATGATCGACAAACTCCTGTTCAGCTGCAGCTTGTAACATGTGGAGCCTTTAAATAAGATCAACATCTAATATTTCAGAATAGAAATGATTAATTTATTGTCTTTAAAAGAGGAAGTGAACAAACAGCTCACCTGGAAGAAAGAAGACACTCAGTAACATGTTGACTGTCAGCAGGTTCTCAGACAGAGCTGCCATCAGATTCAGACTCTAAAAAACAAACATTTAGCTCATTTATAACAGTAGGTCTAAAATTAGATATTTAGTTCATAGCAAAAAGCTTCACATTGACCGTAATTATTTACATATAGACGTCAAAGCATGTTGAAGTATTTGTTAAATAACCAGAGTCAGGAATGTAGACTTACCAGAAATTTTGCATTTACAGTAAAACAAAAACAGTTTAGTTTTCAAACCAGTTGATCTGTTCAGATCAGATGATCAGCAGCAGAATAAATGGCAGCCTTCTCTGTTACTAGATGTGTTATTTAAAGGAGTCCCCATCCTCTTTGCTCTGTGAGGAGGAAGTCTATCTGATTGTTTGAAAAATAACAAGTAATCTCATGAAGTGCACTTTAACTCACAACTCAGAGCCATTTTCTAAGTATAACTCCTTCTTCCTCTTTTCTTAGCTTTATTTACCTATGATATCACAAAATATGAAAATACCAACCTAAAAACAGGCGGAGCTGTCATTTACACCCTAGAGCTGTTGGTCACTTTGAGCCTTGAAGTTTTTGTTTCTAGTTTCATACTCCAAAATATAATGCACTTCCACAGTACCCAGAATAAAACATTTAAAATGAAAATAATTCTAACGTTTATGAATAAATATTACTTTTTTGATTTTATTGATGTTTGCAATATAATAAGATTTGTGTCAGGTATTGGGCATTTGGATAATCTGTTGCTCATTACCTGCAGGTGCACTCATCTCACAGGTGCAGCCAGGCTCGGACTGGTAATCTGTTATACCTAAATCATACTTACTCTCTGGCTGAAGCACCTACTTGTGACAGTAAATAACTCAAGGAGCTCAAGAAGTAATACAATGTTAACGACCTAAATGATGCATGCAGTATATATACGGTAGCCCTTCCTTGTCATGCACATCCTTGTGACGGTTGGTGTAAATTTCAATTTCTTCAACTGTAAAATCCTTGCAACAAATTAAAGTATAATAAAACTAAAGTGCTTTCTTTAAACCAAACTACAATGTTCATCTTATAATTTGGTGAATTCATGTTTGAATATTTTGCAAAAATACGTTGCGGTGCATGATGGGGTTTTGCATCTAAAGACTAATGTTGCACAGGGGAAAAATATGATTTATGTTTTTCTTTTATTTACATTTTCTTTTTGAGCTTTGCATGTTTGGAGGGGGAAATATGATTGTGTTTTCCTTCATTTAGACTTTTTTTTTTTAAAGGACATAATAAGGATGCTGCGGATGTTGCTTGGGTTATATTTGCATTCCAGTGGATGGGCTTCAGTGGGGGGTCCATAAGTGGGCTGGTGTAGATGGAAAAATGCCAGGGCCGAAAATCGTTGACAGTCCGAGCCTCGGTGCAGCACATCATCAGACATCATCAGGCATAACAGAAACTGGTTTTAAGCAGGATGCAGGGCGGATGATAAACACTGACAAGGAAGTGTGGAGAGAAATTCGGTTTGATGGTCTTGGTGAGCTGCGACTTGCACAGATAGACACTAGATGGTGATAGAGAGGGCAACTGCCCTTTTCCACTCAGGACAAAAAAGTGCACTCCTGAAACCAAAATTCTAGGTTTTTGTAATTTATTTATTTTTTACCATGCATCAAGGAATGGTTTAAATGCAACTCTTTGATTAAGTTAGAAAAAAAATGATTTAAAGCTTCTCATAGATGTAATTATTGATTTTCAGTTTTACAGTAAATCTATCTATTTGACTCTTGTCTTTTTATGACAACTACACTACACGTTACCTTTTGGTTGTTATACATTTCAT